AGAAGGCCCTAGTGACTGCTTGTGATTTCCCCATTCCTTGAAATTGTAGAAGAATGTGTTTTTCCTTCTAATACTGTTGATATCAATACTGTTATTATTATTGTTGATATTATGATTATTCAATTATTAACTCAATGCTGATGGGACCCATCTATTGGCGTCATAACAAACTGCTCGGTCTGCAGGGTACAGCTTTATGCACAGAGACGCAGCAGAATGCATGGACTCCCACGCCCAGTGTCTGCTCATGCCACAAATCTCCAGAGTTTAAAATTTTCATTTATATTTTTCACCCATCAGCATTGGGTTAAAATCTGAAAAGATAGAAAAGAAACTTCAAAAATCAAGGAAAAGGGTAAACAGGTGAGATAGGTAGGACTAATAACAGACTTCTTGGTGACCAATCACTTGTAGAGCCATATATGTGTAAATTCAGTGAATGAACTTATAATGTATTGGGCATAGGATGTATTTCTACTATCCATGCCAATTGGGTTAAATGGCTTGAGCATGAAGGTATGATGATTGTGGGTATGATCTTTGGAGAGGTCTCTGTCCAGATATTATCATCTTAATTGAGATATGACTATTTGGGTAGATGTGACTTGGCATAATCTTGGGGTGTTGCCAAAATAACACCTTCATGACATTGCATGTGTAGATGGAGCTGTTATCCTGGATGAGGTAAAATGGCTTTGACTCAGCCATCACCGATGATAGAAACATCTCATCCAGGATTTCCACATAGGTATACCAAGTAGATCTGCTGGGCCCAACTTCATCAGTTCCCTGACCCTGCTGCTTTGCATCCACCCAAACAGCCCAGCAGTTTCTGACAGTCTGCCTTCTGCAGCATGAATAGTCTGCACATTATGAAGCTTGAGATGTTCTGAGCTTCAAAAACAAGTAGCAACCTTTCAGAATCAGCTCTTAACCCCTTCTTGATGGGTGACGCCGATAGGCATGAAAACAAACTGCTCGAAAAGTGGCGTGTGGCTGTACACAGTGGCGGCGCACCAAATTGCAGCGAGCCAGTGATTCGAGCTGATATACCGAACTCACGTGCTCAAAGTCGCCGCCTTTGTTTGCCAGAGCGTAGAGTTTTTTTTCCTTTTTTTCCTTTTTTTTTTTCTTTCTTTCTTTCTTTCTTTCTTTCTTTCTTTCTTTCCTTCTTTCTTTCTTTCTTTCTTTCTTTCTTTCTTTCTTTCTTTTCACCCGTCACCTTTGGGTTAACAGTCGTTTTGGTTTCATCGACTCCTGAGTACAGATATTTCTTTTAGCAACTGTTCATGTTCGTATTGCATTTGTTGTTAGACTTAATATGAAATTCTTTGTATTTTAATCCTTAGGTAATTATTCTTTACTTTCAAAACTGCATTATTATGCTATTTTCCAGGATCCTCATGATTTATACAAATTTTTCTTGGAGGCCACTCAACTGCAACAGATGAGGGATAATTACACTCAGCTACAAGAAGCACTAAGATCGTCCTCAGCAACTATTGAAGGCAGGAAAGAGGTTAGAGTTTGAGCATTTTAATAGTTTCATAATGTGAGGAACAACAAAATCAGTGAATGATATCAGTACTAATTTTCAGTGAAAGGAAAGCTGGTCCTGATTTGTTCCTCATGCAATGTATATTTTGAGCTTCTGATTATATTTACATAGTATGCTTTGGTGATATTTTAACCTAGTGCCGCTGGGTGGTTTCCCAATATGAAAGTCCTCTCTCCCGAGTTGTATTCATAGTGGTGCGGACCCTACTGCCAGGGGATTGTGTCGTCACCATAACATGTGCAGCATGACCATACATGCCCCTGGAAAACAGGACCAGCACACCATGTCATGTATACACTATAGTCCAGGCTTGCCATGGCATGCATGCACATGCCACCTGGCGGCAGTGGGTTAAAACAATGCTTGAAGAGTATTTCAAACACTCGGAAGGATAAATTGGGAAAGGGAGAACCAGTTATGAAGAAAAAGTGACATAAACAGACAAAGTTATATGTAAGAGATTGGAATTTGGATATATGATTTGTGTGTGTACATATTTGAAATGTTGCTATTATGCCAGTGCAAAATGAATATAGGAAAATAAGGATGTTATGAATTTCATATTGCAAGATATCCAAACTGTCCCATTTAACTGTACTTAGAGCACAGCTTGTTCCTAGAATTCTGCCTGTACAGTAAGTCCGCTACTTACGAACATTCTACTTACGGACATTCCATACATACGAACAAATTTTAAAAAATACTTAAGTCAAAAAAATTGTTTGAAAGATGCTAGCAAACTTCAAATTTCCTAGGCGTGAATATAGTTCATGAGTCTGCCACACTCACTCAGCTGTGCGCATTGCTCGCCTCAGTCGCCTGCCCTCCCGCCATAAACACGAAAACATCTGTTCACTGTGCCCTCGTGTACCGCCAATTTTTGTGCCATAATTTGCTTTACCTGTGCAGCAATCCATCAAAAATACTTATTGGGATTTATGT